TCTGTCTTTTCAACATAACTGTTTCGCCCGATTCGAAAGGCCTTCAAGTGGTTGTCGGTTTATTGAGCCTTGCCTGTTTTTTCCGATGCTTTTGATAAATGTTCCTCTTCTATGCGTATAATATTGTGAAATGCTGACCTATAACTGACTGTAAATATTCGCTCTTGCTGGCTGGTGTCGTTAGAGCCAGGCCTAATTCCAATTCAACTGACAGCGTAGGTAATTGGCCAAAAACTACCTCATACAGAGACAAGACTAGTTCGTCGCGTCTACTAGTAATGTAAGCCAACGTGACTGAATCCAGCCACAAGTCCAAATCATCTCGCCTAGAAACAATGGAGGAAAGCATAGCCTGAATTGTGCGGTTTTGGCGCCCTGTATGTCAGCCACACTAAGGATGATAGGCTGGTATAGCTATATAGTAGTGCGCGTTTTCATAATACCCCGCATAAAATTACATACTCATGCAGCAGCGTGCTCTAAAAATTTCTGCCTTGCACTTAATGCAAGACTGCTGGACGGCCTAACCTGGAGAAAATGCGACTGAGTATAGGAGTGGCGCAACTGTGCTGGCTTTTTCATCGGGTGCTTCAAACGCTTCACCCCACTTGGTGAAATGATCGACAAAAACTAAATATGTTTGTTCGTTCAACTGGTCTCTGGCAGCGGTCGCATGTAATCCATTGCCCGGAAAGTGAAAGGTTAATCGACTGAAATGTGGCCTAATGGCGTCGAGGTTTTGCTATTTGGGGAGTTCTTTTGATTCCAAACGGTGGATCAGGTGGATATGGATCTGGTGGGTGAGCAATAGAGGCAATGTGAACACGAGGAGTCTCTGGCACGGTTGGTTGGCCAAGCGCACAAAATCGTTGTGTGAATTCAAATATTTGGGCCAGATTAGGTGTAGGATTGTGCTATAGCATTTTTAACTTCCGGGTTGGTGGTAACCCTTTCCAGAACTACCTCGTCAACAACGCGGACTTAGCATCATCGGAAAAAGATGTGTCAACTTTTGAAAGGATATTCTCTAATTCCCATTTGGATACGGCCGGATCATTCTCGGGTCGCAGGGCTCGCAGTTCGAAATCAGCGAAGAACTTGTGAGGCTCGTCGCATCGACATCACGGCATCGTCGTACGTCTGCCTCTCAGCCACAGGAATAGCATGGAAGTCACTTGCGGCTCGACCACGTAAGAAAGCGGGAAGTTTGAGGATCTTTACATCGCTTTCCTCGGTGACTTTCCAACCGTTCGCAGTGCAGCAGGCATCAACAGGATTGTAACTAGAACGATAATTGGGAGGGTGTTTATTCATATATTCAGTCTTGCCCGACGGATTTCTATTGTAAACTATTGCACTTACAAAAGAAACCCGTCGGGCAGAACTGAATATATGAATAAACACCCCCCCCCCCCTCCAATTATCGTTCTAGTTACGGCACTGGGCATCAAACTCTCGTAACCAAGCGTCGAAATCACCATCATCAAATTTTCCCGGAAGAATTGCAGTCGACATCATACACTTTGCCGCGGAACGACCGAATTGTTTCTGTAGTTCAACACGTCATGTAAAAAAAGCAAACATGTCAGACATAGCCATAGCAGCTATAAAAACTGGTATAATTATTATCTATGTTCTTTGATTAGATGAGTCACTGTAAATATAATCTAACAATTTGACACCCCTAATTTTATTATTATTTTATTAATTTTATTTATCTAATTCCAACAAAATTCGAGCAAGTCGGTGAACAGTCGTGCAATTTGTACTCCTGAGTGTGGATTAATTTTTGCTTGAAGGCCTGGACGCTGCATGATACTCTTGACCAAACTCATTTTAACTTAAATTGACCTCCCATTGTTTATTAATTGTTACGTCAATATTTAAAAGTTTATTACTGCTCAGAAATCTTTGCACTGCTTAACACGGCTTACAAATTGGCGGATAGCAGCAGTGGTGGATCTAGGGGTGTGCAGAATTTATTACACAAAATTAATTTAATACCTTAATAACAACGCTATTGGTTATATTATTTTTTACATTGAAATCTGTTAATGTGATTCTAATTTTAAGCTGTAGTAATTTATTCTGCACACCCCTATACATGCACGCCACTGGATAGCGCTATGCAGCTTTCGTACAGTGACCAACCCTAGGTGTACAGACAAAAACTCGCATTTAAGTAGTTGAAAATCTCAGAAAATTGAGTGAAGAAACGTGGGTGCAATGGCGGAAATTTACGAGCTATTTTTGTGGTCTCGTTTTTGTGACTGAGGAAATTTTTTTATTACGTACACGTTATTTAAAGCAACCGTCTGGTTTTATTGCGTGTCATCATCATGGGAAACGCCATACAAAACGATCAAAACTTTCTGAAAAAATTTATATCGCTAAGATTCCCTCCAGTAAAATTCAATTTTTTTCCCTTGAGGTATTTAGATAGACTTTGCAGTCGACCGCAACTGAACGGCACGACCAAACCGCAACAGCAGTGTTCTGGACATTACTGTATACCTGTATCTGTAATAAGATGTACATGTCATTATTTTATATTGTATTGAAAGCTGTATTTGTAAGGCAAACGTTTCCAATGTTGTGTAACGGACCAGTTTTCAGTTAAATTAAGAATTACTATGGCTAACTAAGTTCTGACAACTTTTGGGGAATTTGAATGTCAACTACATATTATCTGAAAACGAAATTTTTACTATTTTTAGGAACAACTATATATCGACTTGATCTATAGACTGAGATAAAACTATATCATAAAAAAACAACTATAAAATTGATGTAAACTTAGGCACCTGCTGAATCGAATGCCACTCGAGAGCATATTTCCTTATTTCACGTCCTTCGACCCAAAAATGTAAAGCCTGCAGTCTTTCTTAGGGCTCCTTTCCACTTAGGCGTCTATAGAAATTATGTTACGCACGTGAAAGCTTTGGCTGAATGGCTACTCTGTTGGAATAAAGTCTCTCTGTCTCTGCCTACGTGCACACGCGTAAAAGTCTAAATTCTTAGCCCCCCACTTATAAGTCATATTCGAAAACGCTAGGTGAATAAATCAATCGTAAGAACCTAGTTTTCCGGCCGCGTATTTTAGTATGTATTTGTTGGAGAATGATAAAAAGTTTTGGGCAGTTAAAAATTTCCTCTCAGTCATACCGAATGCAAAGCATAAAGGCTAAAGGCTTCCATTCCCTTAAAACTATATTCAGTTCTATTATTCTTAAATTTGCAACATATCGTGCATCTTGCGCTTTCGCCTAATATTTTCTTAAATTACTCAGAAAAAGATTAAAATCCTGCAAAAAATCGAAATTAGCGCAAGAGACGAAGGGTTGCAGAACCTTATCATGTCAATAAAACTTGGGAATATACTGTTGGAATTCGAATCATAATTATATTTATTATAAATGTGAAGGTTTCTGCAAGCGTATCTATTGTGATAAGAAAATATATTCAAAAGTACACTGCGCGAATTATCTATAATAATTATCAACCTTTCTCACGATGACGAATATGCCGCCATTTTGGGCGCAATTTTTTTTAAAACCGTGAGCGTATAAGACCTCGTAACGGCAACTATCTTTAAATTTAGGCTAAATTTATTCTTCAAATGGTGTATTGATTTTAAAATAATGCTTTTAAACTCATTTGAGAAAATTGAAAGTATCCCAAAAACGTTATCGTGAGAAAGGCTATCTGTAAAACAAGGAACGGGGAATCGGGGAAAGAAATGGAGAAAGGAACGGGGAACGGCAAAACCAGGAATGAGAAAAGCCGGAATCTGTAAAACCAGGAACGAGAAAAGCCGGAATCTGTAAAACCAGGAATATAATATAACAATAGATAATAAATAATAGTAAAAGGAACAACATAATTTTATATAACCCTAACCCATTTAACATTGCTAAACTTGTTATGTTTATGTTCTTTTGAGTTTTGATCATATTCACAACAGTAGAGCGTGTTTGTCCTACGGGGCGACTGGTGTTAATTAACAAACGGGAGCAGACTGTAGCATTGTTGTTATCATACATATTTATCATAGACTATCTAACATTATTATCATATCAAACATTATTATGTTTGTTATTATATACATATTCAGTTTTATAATTTTATTCGCAACAGACGTTTGACAGACGTGCGCTTGAATTCTCTGTGTTGTATACGTTGTAAAGTATCGTATTTCATTCTGTCTGAAGATTTCTTTAAAATGAAGTCGAAATTTTGACTCTCAAGATTGCTTTATTTACGTATTGAATTGTTCGTTTCATCTATATATATATATAAACGAATAATTTTAATAATGATAAGAGACTATGGTAATAATATAGAAGGGGCTAGTAGCTCAGTCCATTCCTGGTTTTACAGATTCCGGCTTTTCTCATTCCTGGTTTTACAGATTCCGGCTTTTCTCATTTTTGGTTTTACAGATTCCGGCTTTTCTCATTCCTGGTTTTACAGATTCCGGCTTTTCTCATTCCTGGTTTTACAGATTCCGGCTTTTCTCATTCCTGGTTTAACAGATTCTGGCTTTTCTCATTCCTGGTTTGACCGTTCCCCGTTCCTTTCCCCATTCGTTTCCCCGATTCCCCGTTCCTTGTTTTACAGATAGCCATTATTTTTCCTAGTTTTACAGATTCCGGCTTTTCTCTTTCCCGGTTTTACAGATTCCGGCTTTTCTCACTCCTGGTTTTACCGTTCCCCGTTCCTTTCCCCATTCGTTTCCCCGATTCCCCGTTCCTTGTTTTCCAGATGAGCTTCGCGAGAACGGCTAATTGTCGCACTGAAAGCCTGGTTATATCATTGTTGCGAAGTTGTTCCAGCAATCATAAACACAATATTTCAACACATCATAATTAAATTTTATTCAAAACTCGGTGTTTCATATACATTCCAAAAAGTTCCTTATCTCAAACAACTATCAATACTCTATTCTATTAACTAACATTAATTTAAAACATTTTTTTTCATTTGAAGTGAAACTCGCAAAAATTTAAAACAAGAAAAAAGTCGCTTGCATTAGCTCTCTAATATAATCAAAGCTATATCCGCAAAATTTTGACTCAGTTTACCCAAATTTTGACTACAATATTTTAAACATCACAGATCTAAAGACAAGATATTTTCAGCAACTGGCCGCTGAGATTTAGAAAAACACTCAAATATTTCGCGTTTCAGAATGCAGAAATATGACGCACAAGACACCAGTTAAAAATAATCTAAAATATACCGATAATATAGGATTTGACATTTTCGTTTTAGGCGAAGCCAAATTATTGCATGCATGTGACGTGGATACTGGACTTATATTTGCCTCCATTTGTGCCTTGCTTTATTCTACCCTTAATAGCCTTTCTCTAATGTGAAATAATAATTACTTCCCCAATGATATTTTGATGTAATAAACTTGGCCTGTGGTTCTCTTGCTATAAACATTTCGGCACCTAATAAAAAGAAAAAAAAGGAAGAATGCATTTTATTCTAGTTATCAATTATTAGCTCGGAACTTTGCCAAAAATAAAAGGCCCCAAATGTTATAGCTTTATAACTGATACGCTTGTATATAAAATTCTAAAAAATGACTTTTGTCCTGCTATTCTGGTGTCAAAATATCAATTATACTGGTAACGTCGTACCAAGAGTTTTTCGCATTAATTTTATGGAAGGTAGTTTGGCGCTTTGACACGAAACTCTGGTGGAGATGACAACAGATATGGGCATACCAATTGTACACCAATATAGGGGCACGAACCCGTACTAATACTTCACTATATTATACCCATGCAAGAGGTAGTTTTCGTTAAAAAAGTCACGGATAGAGTATTCCTTCCATATATTTAGAAGATGAAGTCAATCTCTATTCAAGCAAACTTATAACCAGCCATGTTTGTTGTTTTCCACTGGAATTCCCAGGAACTCATAACTTTCAAAATATGTTAACACATGGCTTTAACCTGATCGGCTCTCTGTCGTAGAAATAATAGACATTGATTGCGTACTGATACAAAAATTTGTTTCGAGGTACTCAAGGATTTTTTTCTAAGTGCAGTCCCGAAGAGCCATTTAAGCGCGGTCCCAACGAGCGAGATCCATGAGGTGGAAAGAGCTTATTTTTGAGATTCTTAACATACCAGACATTGTATGAAATTTAAAACGTCGTAATTTTTTTCTACTCAAACATTGCTCGGTTCTTTTTACAATTTTATTTTCTTTTCTTACGTATTCCATTCTAACTTGGGGTAACAAAAAACATTTAATCTATTAAAGTTTCCTGATGTTGATCAGTAAATTAGCTTGTAGGTACACCACGTAAGTCATTACGTCACTTTAACTTACGTTGTGTACCTACAAGCTAATTCACTTATTGATGTCTGTTGTCACCATGCAAACAAACAAGAATATTATTTCCTGATATTTTTAAGCTATAGACTGTTGTGTTTATGTAACAGTGTACCAAAGATTTAAAAAAAAGAATCTTAGCATTCTTTAGACACTCGCCCTGTCCGCCATTATTATTGACTGCAAGAAATACCTCCACTCAAGTTCGATTTTTGAATAAATTTTTTTTGACAAATAATATATTCTTCGGCACGCGTATCTTTGAACAGTACACATTCTATGTTTATTTTTTCTTTGCTCTCTGTTTTCCGACAAATTTGTTACGAATTTTTCCATTGTCGTTACAGAAAAATTAAACTTTGCTGAGTTTTGTTGCTAATACATTTTTGAACTAGAGCTTGGTATTAGCTGCACAAATCAACAAATCGCAGTCGTTAGAAATTCTCCTGTACATCATTATCACCAAAACACTAATAATAATAAACATATATATATATATAATAATAAATGTTCGATTTAAGACGAAAGGACTTCAAATATTTTTACTTGATTTTCAAAGCTTTGAATATTATTATTGAGAAAAATAGTCAGTTATACGAATATGTGATATAGATTTTGAGAAACACTGTGAATAAATGCTAATTTTTCATGTTCGAACGGTTCAGGCAAAGGTAGTTGCATTTATTTTACACTTACATCGTGATTAAACATGAAGCGAAAAGTTAACCAGATTCAATACAGGACTTCAACCTCAGAAGGGGTGAAAGAATGGCTTCCTGCAAGGAGGGATCTCGTGTTGGCTTGTTTGTATGTGTAACCAGGTGGAGTTTTGAAACTGTAGCCAAGATCGGTGTAGGAATACGCGGTGGTTCCTGCGTTGTTTGAAATATACAGATCATGGCCGCCCCCAAATGTTGGTCCGTATTCATTTCTTCGGTAAATATCACCCCCATCATTCCGATTAGTTAACAAAGACTTGAATGGACGGATGTCGTCATTATTACGAAGAGAAAACAAAAAGGAACCTGGAGCAGATGTCCAGTAGTCTGTAAAATACGCAGTAAATTCTTATTAAATATGATTATCTCAGATTTCTGTAATGATGGACAATAAAATATTCCGCCACATAACTAAACGGTCTAAATTTTTGCATAATTAAGAGGAGGTATTTTTCTATGTCGCGTAATATATTCTCAAAACCTCAGTTATATCTTCATGCAACAGCACTAAAATTTTCAGCATTAAAAATGTTTTCCAAACCTGAAAAGCATCCGCAAAGTATGTTTACTGTATAATCTCAAAATATTGTGAAAATGAAAAGATTTCTCGGGATACGCCGAGAAGAAAATGACACTTGAATCGAAGCTTCTTTTGTATTCATTTCAGTTATAATGGCGTTGAAACATTGTTGATAGCCGCCGCATTATATTTTGTAATAACTCCTTTGTTTGGTGTTTTGCATTCACCAAATACAGTTCAAAACTTAGTTCACAACATAATCTAAACAATAACGGCAAAATAAATGGATTTTGAGTGGTATGCCGAAAATATTTTAGGTTTTGAGCGTTTTCCCGTCAAAATACATGACATAATAAAAAATCTCCTCTTAATACGACACACTCTAAGTATATTTTCATGTTACGAAGTGGACAAATCCATGCATTAAGGGTGTAAATTATGCACGAAGTATGTAACATACAAATATACAATTATTTTTATATAGGTGTATATAATTATAAAGGTTTATAGGGGATTTGAAAGAACGGTGATAACACATTTATATTGGGTGCCACTATTACATTAAAGAGCCTCTGGAGTAAGAACCCGTTTATCAATATCCGTTTGTCAATGAATCGAATTGAATCATTTTTAGTAAAAAACTGAAAGCTGTTAAATAACTCGAATATCCTCAAACCTCGTTGGACGACATTAATTCTTAAAACTACCTAAATTTTAATAAAATAATTATTTAAGCTAAGTACATACGTAAAATGCTGCTCAAGATCTGAAATAAATTTAGCAGAATCCTACGTCTAATTGGCCATTCCGAAGTTGCGGCAGTGGGCTGGTAATAGCGAGAACGACAACGCATTAAGGGACTGTTTTTGGGACGTAGACAATAATATTCGTCCCGAAAACAGCCCCATGATACGTTGTACATAATATCACTATTACCAGTCCTTTAGTGCAACTTCCGAATGGCTAATTATCATGGTATTATTGCTATTTACTAGAATCGTACTCTATTTCCTTTTTTCATAGCTTTATAACATACTATTATTATACTATAGGTTGCTGTTTGACGTTTTCGAGGAAGAATATCATTGTTTCTCGAGAAAAAAATTCCTGATAAAACCAAAACTGCCACAAAATACGCCGTTAAGATATTTAATGCCTAAATTCTTTAATAAAGCTACCTAACATTGGAAACTACTGATTCCACAGGAAGATAACATGATCAACGCTCGATCGAAAATTGTCCAAAATTCTGTGTCATGGACGTAGGAATGGAATCTGGTAACGAGTAATAACGTCAGTTATCAATAAATAACCTCACAGGCAGCCCGGTCACTGCTGTTACGTCATGCTATTATATATGTATATAATTACAATAAGGCTGGCAACTCTCTCGCAAAAAATATTATACATATTATACCTCAGCAATTTTACTGTTGTTAATTCGCAAACTTTTTCATAAAGCTGTTTTTTAAACATTAATTGAACGAAATAGAATGTGAAAAAGAATGATAACAGATCCAATGAAAATCATCAGGAAACATTTATCAAAAACAAAAAAGGTTTTCACTTCATGATTGAATTGCGAAAGAGAAACAATTTAAAACCTAGCTATAAACTTAAAATGTTAGAACTAAGGTGGTACGTGCTATAGTATAGTGGTTGTTTAATCCGTGTTTGAACTAACACTTAAGCCTGTTTTCCACTTCAACCGCATCGCACCGAAAGACATCTTTGAAATGGATAAACAGCCTAACGGTCGCACGGCCAGGTGCACCGCACGTGACTAAAGTTTTTAATTCCAGGTAAACTCCCTCTGCAGGAAGTCGCGCCGGTGACATAAAAATTCATCACTCTCGTGTGATTCGCTCTTGACCAATGAAACGCTACAAACACCAAACTTTGACATGTGGCTTATAAAAATTGTATTTAATTCCTCCAAATAAAGCAGATAACTTATATATTGTTTCTAGCAAAAACTTTCATGACAAATAAGGCTACGATAAGACTCTGAAATTCATTTTCGAGAATTTAGAGTCATAAAATTTCTCGCTGATATTGAAATTGCAACCACGACCGTGGCATTATTCCGAACACTGTGCTTCCATGCACCAGTTCACAGATTGCAGTACAAAATTTGGTTTCCAAAGGTTTAAATTTCTATGATGACAAAGAATATAACATGAAATTTTATGCAGTTATTAATTTTGATCCAATTTTAAAAACGTGTTGCCCATTGAGACTATAATGCCACACAATCATTTTATTAAAAGAATATCATAACTGAAACCTATATTAAAATATTTTTTTGACAGAACTAGTAAATGCCACGCACTTATTCGTTTAGTATTTTACTTCCGGTTTACAAACATTTTTTAAAGCTGCTAGCAAATGGGTATGTTCAGGTGGATCCAGCACTAGTGCACTAATTTGAATGACACAAGAAAACTATTTGCCAAAAGAGTATTTACATCTGATTAATAGATGACGTCATTTTGAGAGTATATAAGGAACCGAGTTTCAACATCAGATCACCCCTGATGAAGACACTAGACCGGAGTGTCGAAACGTTGGGTCGTGAAAGTTAATCTTTGTGTGGTGATTACTTTCATTTACTAAAACCAGAGTAGCGATAATTACGATGGATTATATACCTGGTTGCCGTGAACTCATAAACTTCAATTCGTCACAAGAAAACTGTTAAAAATAACCACTTTGTTTTTGTGATCCAAATTAGTGCTGGATCCACCCCTGGGTATGTAATTATTCGATAAAAAATAATAAATGTTTATCAGGTCTTACTTGCAGGAAAAGGATCAGTCCACGAAACTGTCGCATATCCACCAAATATATAATTCTTATTATCTTTGACAACTTTAACAATCGTCAATGTCGGTGATTTTCCATCGCATTGAGAATGAAATGTTGAAGCTCCCCATCTATCTTTCGAAGCACGCCAACAAACATTCCAGTCCTTGTCAGATTGTGGCAACCATTCATTCAATTTTCGTTGAAAGTCACCAGGCTCATTTTTCAAGATTTCTTAAACACAAATATTGAAGTATAAGAATACAAGATGACTTGAAATTGACTCGGACAAAAAGAAGAAAAAATAATTATGGATAATTCTAAATTAACACCGACAAGTATTGAGAGATGAGTTTAGTGTGTTTAATGACTTCGACAATGAGAAAACTTGCCAGGCTGAATGACATCGCTGTATAAAGACAATTCATCTTAGACTTACCCGAAGCATTCATCGATGACTATCTTTGAAAGCGGGGACGTGGAATTCCAGAGAATGGGAAGATGTCGGGGAATAACGAGAAAAATCGGGGAATAACTGGGAATATTGCATACACTGTGTAAAATCTTTATCAATAATAACGATCCCATTGTAATACGAGCATGCATGGTGTGTTTAAGAAAAGTAAAATAGACGTTTGGACAGCAGTCGAAGTTTAAACCAAAAACAATCCCTTTATTAAAATGTCCACGGTCAAAAATCAATCATTTGGTTCGATTCTGCAATAAGGGGATACTGGCTCATGCCAATAAACATATAATTAAAATTCCAAAATTTCCCAACACCAAACGACAAGAGTTAATTCAAAATATAAAGCGGCTATCAATAATGTTTAAAATATCAACGCCATTATCACTGATACAAAAGTAGCTTCGATTCAAGAGTCATTTTTCTCTAGGCGTATCCCGAGAAATCGTTTCATTTTCACAATATTCTGAGATAATACAGACTAATACAGTAAACATACGTTGTAAATGCTTTTCAAGTTTGCTAAACTGTTAAAAATTTAGTACTGTTTGCATTAAAACATAATTGAGGTTTTGAGCATGCATATATTACGCGACATAGAAAAACATCTTTTTTTAAAACCTTCAGTCTTTAGAAAATATGGCTTTTGTCGACCCAGAGAATATTTATGGAAAAAGATATTCAACTTTGTAAACAAGCGATTAAAACTAAGGATTAAGCTAACCGGCCCCAGAACAATTATAATGTATAATTTTAAACTCGATCGTCAGTTGGATGCATCTAAAATTAACACTTGAAACATACAATAATATGCGCATGGTGTATGTGTCAAAGTTATAATAATAAAAATTAATGATCGAAGGTGAATATCGTTTGTCACTCCACATCTTATTTATTATTGAACAAATTGGGTATCACTGCACAATGGAATATCCCTATTTGACTGACGCCTAGGATTAATATTTGAGAATTTACCAAACTTTTTTAGTTTATTTGGTCATTTTAGTGTTGGTCAGTTGAGGTTACGCGATTTGCACTCGGCACGCGATGTCATAGATGATGGTAGGTGATAGAAATCAAGGGAATTACTTTTCTAAATGCACATATTACCCACAGGTTTGGGTAACCGATGCTATTCCACTAATATCTAGCAATTATTCAGCAGTAAATCGGAGACGAAACTGTTTTTGTACAATTAGAAATAAAAATTTTTTCAATAAATTTTTTCAATAATTATATTGCAATTATACAAATAACAATTAATGCTAAAATTATTTACCTGACGCTGACAGTAGGCGCTGACAGTTGTATGAACCTTGTGTGTTTCTGCAAACTTCATTTTGGCTGCAGTTGTGTGTCCTTTTTTTACATTCGTCAAAATCTAAAATACACTTTCCTAGCTTATAAATATATAATTATTCTTGATACATCCCAACATAGGCTCATTGTTTAAAGACAGCTAAAACTATAGAAAAGTAGGAAAGAGTAGGTAATTCCAGTTATCGCAAAGCATGCTAGGAACTGTGGACGTTTCAGTATTTTTGAAAAAAGAGGCATTCGGCTTCACAGTTTCTAAGCCAGAATGTATTTTCAAATTTACCAACTAGGTATTTACGTGAAAGACTGGATTAGACAATTTCGCTTTATATGTTATGGCGAGCTTTCTGTGAAAATCATACTAGCGAAGTCGCTGAAGTAGAAAACGATTCGCTTCGAAAACGATTATTTTGGAATGGATGTTTCGAGCTAAAAAAAGTTCGAGATGAAAAAATTCCCAAACTGAAATTTCAAAGGATGACCGACTTTCGAGCTATTTCGAAGTCTGTATGGCGCCGCTTTCGGCCGATCACATCTACATAATCTGCGCTTCATACTTAGCATTTTTACCATGAAGAAACTAACGCAATTTTGTTTAGTTAATTGGGTCTTCGACAATATCCTGCCGTATTCCGTTTTTTTTTCCTTAAGGTTGTCGTTTATTCTGGTTTATTCTGTTTTTAAAGTTTCAAGGGTTGCAACCCTAACCGATCCTGGATATTTATTTCTCAAAAAATATGTATAAAGAATAATTTGGGTTTTACCCCGAGCAAACAAAAGGGGTCCAATGACTTATTCTATTGTTTCGTTGTTCTATTTTATTGTTCCCTATAATTTATGCAATATATGCAAAACGTTTTTCGTCGCTTTTCCTAGCAAACTAAAATTCTCATTCCATTTTACTTTCGTGCACGATAACACAAAAAGTAATACAGCTAACTTGATAAAATTTTCATGGTTGACTTTAAAGACAATTGGCACGATGTTGAACTGAAAGTTTTGTATTCCCTTCAGTATAAGTAAAATAGCGACTGCCTGTTTAAGATTGATCGTAAAAGTTTTATATTTCTAGTCTGCAAAACGTTTAATACTGGACAAGTTTTATTTATTCTAGTTCAGCTCCGAGGCAAAAATATTTAGATATAGTGATTGAAGACTCCTGCAAATATGTTTTTTTCACTCAGAGCAACTTGGCTTGCAAAATGGCATGAAAAATATTTTATTCAAAATAGAAGAAAAATGTTTTTGGTAAAAGACAACCTTAACAGCATCCTTAAAACACAAAAGAGAAAAAGCTACAAAGACTTTATATTTTCCCAAACCCATACAGGCATGCAATTATTATAACAAAGGAAAAAAGTAGTTTTGAGAATAAGCTTTTTTCTGTTCTCTCAAAATACTTTTATGAAAGTTTCTCTTCCTGCATTCATTAACCAGGTAAACCATTAATGTTCTATGTGTCTTGAGATACGACAGAGAATGATATATAATAGGTATCCGTTAATGTCGTTTGGTATAACTCGCCATGCAGAATTATTAAGGTTCACACCAACCCTATATTTTGTATAATTAGGAGCAATATCTCTGTGACTATAAAACTCTCTGCAAATAATTTAGCTCTGACCACCTTAACAATAATGATTATGCTAGAATAACGCTTTTGAGACAACATTATGTAAATTAAGAGTCATTCAAAAATCAGTGTATTTTGTGTTGTTTTCTTTATTTAACAACTGAAAACAATCTTACCTTTGCATTTGCTTCCATTTCCTGTGTAACCACTTTGACACTGGCAGTTGAATGAACCTGGAGTGTTGGTGCAATTTGCATTTTTGTCACACATCTCTGGCGTTCCTTTCCCACATTCATCAACGTCTAGAATACACCCGTTAATTTTAATAGTTAATACAGTATATTAGAGTTCTCGGTGATAAAAATATTTATTACCATGACAAAATTACTGCATGCTGATTGGCCGAGAGTTGTTTCATAAATTGTACTGTAGTACAATAGACTCTTCCTGTAATTACGTTGGAACTTTACCGTTTCCAGTTTAGAACCACCCGAAATGAAACGGATTTCAAGTCGTACTTTGACGAGCTATTGTGGAAAGGTGTAAAACATCCTTTTTCAACACGTGCGTCAAAAAGAATTTTTCATTTCGACCAATAAATGCGGAAATAAACCATAACCCGATCTTTTTCGCTACATATTTGCACATAGCTCGTGAGAATAAAATTTGTTTCATTTCATTTCATTTCAGGTGGTTCTAAACTGGAAACGGTAAGGCTGTGACGATATTAGCAGAAGTGTGCATTGGACCCTAAATTAATATTCTAATTCGGGGTGTATATTTATAAATCATCACTCGTATTATTAAGGTGGTATTATACAAAAAAGTTTCTCATATATTTTGAAAAATATTGAAATACTTCATGCCACATTTTAGGTTCCTCTAAGTGAAAACGACTTTAATTATTCAATTTTGAATCATTACAAGACCACCCGATGATTTCCATACGGACGAAACAGATTGTAGTGGCCGATTTTTGGTAAAAAAAATCTTGTATATGTATCTGCTCTATCTACATGGTTTTGAGCAAACTCTAGTATTTTGACATACGACATATGACATTTTTATAATTGTATAATGAATATAATATATATTATATTAAAATAGTTATATTATATTACTCATTCCTGCGCAATGGCATAAATGTGTCACGCAACAACTAAACGACTTTCGGGATTTTATTATCGTCACTCTGGTTTATTTAATGAAGGCAATCAACACACAAAAATTACATTCACGAAAGATTACATCCACGAATCTAAACAGCTTCGTGTGATTCGTGAATGTAATCTTTGTGTGGTGATTACTTTCAATAATTTAATCAGAGCAGCCAAAATTGCAATGGATTAGATGATCTGCATTGCAGTGAACTTATTCGTTAACTAAACGACTTAGCTGACCTGACCTGTGCAGTTTTTTCCATTTCCTTCATATCCAGTTCGACATTCACAAGTGTATGAACCAGCCGTGTTTGTACAGTTTGCATTGTGGGCGCATGGACTATCTGCACATTCATTGATATCTGCAAAATTCATGTCTGAAAGCTTTTTTTGCATGGGGACATCATAATAATTATTGTTTTATGCTTTTAAAGAATGATTCAAAGCGTTATGACTTATAACTAGCTCTTTTAACATCAACAATAGCATGGAACATCAAAGGCAAAATGAAATCTAAACTACATAGTGTTAAAACTTTGTAGTCGCTGTGTGATTTGAACAATTATTAAGCGGCAAGCTGTTTGAGAACAAGGCAAATTAACCATGTAGTAGCAAACACGTCGGCCTAAAGTGATCGTGCATTGATTATGAAAATCGCCTCACGTTAATGTGGTGGTGATGTAAAACAACAATCCTGTAATAAAATAATAATTGTACCATTGCATTGCTTTCCATTTCCTTTGTAACCAATTTGACACTGACAGCTATATGAACCTGGAGTGTTGCTGCAATTTGCGTTTTGGTTACACTGATAACTTCTTTTCTCACACTCGTCAACATCTGAAATAGAATTATGTAATCATTAATATTATTTATAACAAAAATGTCATGGCGTGGTATAATCAACCATTGAAAATATAAATCAAGAACAATTTAGGTCTTCCAGCAGGAATGCCGGGCACATACGCTTTTGCGACACCCAAAATTATTACCGTTATTATTCTGTGTCATGGACGGTCGATGTTTGATGATTTTGTTAGTGAATTTGGACGGGTAAAGACTGGTGATCAGCAATCAGCCTGGTTGGCCAACGTAAAAAGCATGTATTTTGTTGAGAACGTCAGAAAAAAACTTACAATAACAGATATATAATCTATATTACGAAGTGCTTGAAACATGTAGTTTGCAGTTTATGAAACGATTGTAAACTCAAAGCTTTTGAAATCAACTGCAAAGATCCGCTGTATAAAAATTCGAAGAAAAACATATCACCAAACATATGATATATAAGACATATGATACTTTGATATTTTTAATGTTCAATTTTTATCCGTAAATTAAGTACTGCAACAGCCCATTTAATTGCAACTAGGGCACAGACTAATAAATTCCAACTATGGTTTTTTTCCGCCTGTCCGAGTTGAGAAATCGTTTATGGGGTAAATTTCGCATACTTTTGGTCTATTACTGACCATAACGTACTTAGAGAAAAGTTACATAAAAAAATAAAAACCTGAAATCAGTTGAATCATTTGAGAAGATATGAATTAGAAGAAATAAGTAAGACAGTTTCAACTATAAATCAACCAAAATCAACTTTATTTAATCAGGGTAGTCACGATGCAGTTCAAAAAGTACTGGTACTAAATCTCTTGTTCATTCTGATGGGATTACCTAGCTAAATGCAAAGTAAAATTCTTAATGCGTATTTAACTCTCACTTACCTTCAGTTACCTATATGAGAAAGAAAAATATCGTCGTAAATATTTTTCAAATTATGTTGTAGAGCAATGTCAAATGAGTTATTGTGAAGGGACGGAGCAGTGTCGAATGAGTTACAGGCAGCAGAAACTATAGGAAAGTGGAGACAGATGTAGGAAAAGTCATTTGCCCTGGCTTTGCTATACTATAACCAGGGTGGTTATAAGATAGGGCGGAGTAACGCCAGATAGTCGCGAGAAACATGTGTGATCATAGAGATTATAAATAACACTAGAGGAGGCATTGGTATCGGAAACATCAGTCAAAAAAGGGAGCGCGATAATGGGGGCAAATTCAAGTCCCGGATGCTAAGCCAAACGCTGATTGGCTAGATCAATGCCTCCTTAGCAACCACGTTAGCAACAATTTAAAAAAATTATATTCGTTATTTAGGTCGCTTTGCCGGTTTTTTAAGGAAAAATATTGCTTTTTGAAACTGGTTTTACAAATTTAGACATCCTGAGACGATATTTTAGGCAAAAAAACATTTAGAGATAAAAAAACTCGCTAAAAACGACTTTTTTTGCCTCGGACATCGTGAGTGAGTGAACATCCGGGACTTGGATTTGCCCCCCATTAACGCGCTCCCCAATTTCTCCTCGATGACCCCTCTAGTGTTATTTATAATCTCTATGTGTGTGATGCACAGACCCCCCGCCGAGGTCCGAAAAACTTCTAAACATGGCGGACTGCACGAAGCTGAAATTGAATACATTTTTAGTCCTGATGATAGTGACATGGAAACAAATACCTCAAAATCAACTTTAGCATTGAAAACTAATACTAGCTTCACTGTTAAAGAGTTGATTAACGTTTAAGTCGAGTTTCGTGGAACAAAATAAAGCCTGAAGCTGAATTTGCCGGAAAAATTCTTGCAAACACGCGTAAAAAGGAATATTTTACAACTTTGTATTATTTTGTCTCATCGCTTGCCATTTACATGAATAATTAATTTTCCCGTACGCTTTTTAATTTTCCCGCCTTTACTTTCTTTGCATCTTGATTAAAATTAATGGTCGATTGTTTACTCGCCCCACTCCCCTGGGTACCTAAAAGTTCTTTCGAGATAACTTTTATTTTTTTGAAGATCGACTTTAAGTAAACTTTTTGAAAAAAGCTCAAAAAATTGTCACTTTATACAAGAATAATAATAATCGTAACAGATTCGGCAGCAACTCTGTTTTGTTTACGAACCTCCTCGGCTTCTGTGAGGCTTGGTTTTCAAAGATTTGCGGAAAACTTAACGTTGAAAGTTTCCATTCTGCTGTTGTGACGCGGTCAAATGTTTCTTGCAAGTAAGTTTATGTTTTTCTGGTATATTTTTATCGTTGTAACTAATTATGTCCCTAGTAAAGAAAATGTATGTCTTGTTTTTTAATATAAGTACATAAACTGTGAGAAAAAATATGATTTGAAGCTTTTACTATTAAATTTTTAAGACCATCCCGTTTGCGAAAGCAGTTGTGATGAAAAAAAATAATACTACGAAAGTAAAAACGGATTTACAAAAAAGGCTAAAAAATCTATGTGATAAAATAATGCTAGGAGTACTTATCTACATCTTGGACACTACGTCCGAAAGCTAAATACCAAACGATACTTTTGTCATTGAAAAAATTCAAATATTTAATTATTTGCGTAAAAATTCAAAACGTGGTCCGTGTCGTCCGTAATTTTGATGTCCAAAAAATTTGCTATTCAACCGTTATAAAATCCATTGTTAAGACTCTAAAACGACAGCCAACCACAATACGAACCCAGGAAATACAGAATAGTGGGGATTGGCTTAATAACTGAAAAGTAAAAATGTTTTTAACTGAGGTAAATAAAAAAATATATAAAAAATTTTTCTTCTAGAACTTTCCTACAAACATGCATGCTAGCCCAAGGCCTAAAGTGAAACACACATATTTCACGCAATTATGCGGCGTTCCTCCGCCCTGACTATAACCGCCCTGACTATAACATAGCAATACGTACATAGAGATATCTTTTTTTTTGGTTAGCGAAATGAATAATTATGTGGCATTTCTACAAGCTCTTTCTATCTATTATAGGATGATGGACGAAAAATTGAAACTCTAATTTACAATGATGAAATTGAAGTTTTCTTAGAAAGAAATAATTGAATTACTCAAAATCTTTAATATACAGATTTCATCGATTTCGCGTCGTCGCGTCGTTGGTTGAATGCAGTATCACACTTGAAAAATGTGTTTCTGCTCAGTGCAAGTCTCCAACTTTGATCTAAAAGTATAGCTGCCCTTTGTTTTTTTTTTCTATAAAGCGATACAGTTGCATGAATCTAATCATACCAAAACGTCTTCGTAAAAAATCCATGGCCCATTCTTCATTTTGGTTTTGTTCATCTTCACCGTGCTGTTGCTCAACTGACAGTTTGCTGTATAAAGGTTGCTTGGTCTCACTCTGTAGTTGTAACCATAGCAATTGTCTTGATTAATACAGAGAATGTGACACTCTCCCAAAAGATGGATGGTATGATTTGATATAAGATTGGATGGACGCAGTGCCTGGTTTCCTGTTTGATATAAAAAAATATTATATTTTATATATATATATATAATATATATATATATATATATATATATATATATATACACCCATTTGCAAAAACGTTGGCCGCAGATAGATAGATAGATAGATACTCGAAATCTAATTAGAATTGCATATGTTGTGTAATATGATTGAAATCCCATGCAAATGTAATCATATGCAATTCTAATTAGACTTCGAGTATCTATCTATCTATCTATCTGCGGCCAACGTTTTTGCAAATGGGTGTATATATATATAATATATATATATAATATATATATTAATATATATATATATATATATATATATATATATATATATATAGATATATATAGATATAATATATAATATAGATATATACATAAATAAATATAGATATATATATATACATAAATATATACATATATATATATATATATATATATATATATAATTATATATACAGTATATATAATATTATATATATATACATAAAAATATATATATATACTGTATATATATATATACACCCATTTGCAAAAACGTTGGCCGCAGATAGATAGATAGATAGATACTAGAAGTCTAATTAGAATTGCATATGATTACATTTGCATGGGATTTCAATCATATTACACAACATATGCAATTCTAATTAGATTTCGAGTATCTATCTATCTATCTATCTGCGGCCAACGTTTTTGCAAATGGGTGTATATATATATATATATATGTAAAATTAATATATATATATATATATATATATATATATATATCTGTGAGCTATATATTATATATTAGACGTGGGAGATAACTCCCCCTTTACACAGGCCTATATAACTTATTTAAACTTATCATATACTTATATAGGATAAATCATTGTGATTTTTCCATACCTACAAAGATTGCAACGTTTTTTCGTTTTTACATGCGACTGAACTGAACAAGTACATACGGTACTTGAAGGAGTCAAGGGTTAAATATTCGTTAGAAAGTAATTAAGCAATGCAAGAGTTACTCCAACAAAACGAAAAGTTGCAGTTCATCCTGAATTAAGCACTTTAAACTCGCGAGAACCGAACTTTTGTCGAAATGTAGACATAGGAAAAAATTCCTACTCAATGTAACATAAGCTTCTATAATCCGTTAATATCACCAGGTACAAAATTATAGTGTACATAACTTTGGCAACAGAATGCGCGTATTTTAAATATTGTTAATTCACCTAATGAATGTGGCAAGCTCTGCTTGCCATACGAAACAAATTTGTAGAGTGAATAAATTCGTATTCAGTAGCTAATTCAAGCTGTATTTAAACTTAGTGATCTTTATGCCGTAATTTAAGCTGTATTTGATCTTTATGCAGTAAATCAACCTGTATTTAATCATCAGGCGACATTTAATATTTAATATACTTGATATTTATAAATCAAAAAGGGCCGAAATTAAAATGCATGTTGTCGGAAATACATAGCCCTCTTTCAGAAAACGTCTTAGGTTATTTATAGTTTAGGTAATGCAATATTATATTCGATGTTGCGGAAATCTCACCCCCAAAACGCAGGAAATCGCATTTGCTGCATTCTAAAACTTCTTGGGGGAGGATGCCCCCAAACCTCCGAAACACTGCTATAGCCCCCAAAATTCAATTTTCTTACGCCTCTCAATATTCTGGTCATACATTATCGCGCTGCAGTAGTACAAAATTATTTGGCATTTTTTTTCGGATTTAGTCCCCTAACGATTATTTGACCCCCCAACCCCAAAATTCTGCTGCCGGTGAGTAAAGGCTTTGATGTTTTACGGGATTGAGTGTGGGCCCCGGTGCCCCGCACTGAAAAAATACCACGGCCCAACGAAAGGTTAATCCGGCCCTGATCAAATATTTGTACAAAATCCGCTTTTTTGATTTATATTATGAACGAAATAGAAAACATTTATGGTTTGTTAAGCCCTGATTCCACGGGCGAACTTTTTAGGCGAAATGCAAAATATTTCTCCTGCTTCTTTTGAATTTTGAGCAATGAAGCAGAATTAATTTATTCAAGTGGTCGAAATTCGAAAGGAACATGCGAAATATTTCGCATTTCGCCGAGAAAAAGCGCCCGTGGAATCAGGCACTTATATATGTGTTATTTCGCCGAAATTCACAAAGCACAATCGAAAAACAAATTTGGGACAACTTTACGGATCACGAAATTGACTAAAACCACACAGAAAGCCTTGGCTTATGTTACGGCTGACAGTGATTCGACGTTATAACCAACGAATTGCACTCGAGACGTGGAAGTTATCTTGATTTGTAATCGTGAATTGAAATACAGCATATAGGAAAACTTAAATAACTATATAGCTTGCATTACAGCTGATATGGCATGGAAAGGAACTGAAAAATATCAATCTTTCAAGAATACATGCAATCTAAAAGAAAACAGCAGTACGCTGCACAGAAGACGCCATAAATGCATGCGACTATAATTAAACATAACATAATATAGAACTAATATAGAACTAAAATAGTCTAATAAAGTTTCTGAAATGTCACTTACATACAGTCCCGTTTTCCCCACAGCGCTGAACTAGTCTTTTCACAACTTTAGTAGCAAATTTTACTAAGTACGCACCACTATAGATACAGGTGTTACTTCTGTGACTATCTCACAAACTACAACAAATTGTTTTCCCGTGTCTGGATATACCCCGGTAAAACACTCGCTCTCGTTGTTCAAAGATTACTTATTAATATAATAAGATATATACCCACCACTAAAAGCCTCAATGCAATTCAGGGCAATTTTCGGGGCGTCGCGGGATGCCTGGTTAGGGGAGTGTATTATTATATATATACAAATCACTCGCGCCCTGGCAATCTTGAACAAGATGCCGTTAAATCACGCTTCAGGTTATTTGTAAATTTCTTTGTCAATATCTAAGGAAATTAAGATGCAGAATATGTAAGCTCCTACCTTCACTGATGCGCTTAAAATTCCTCATTGCACATGGTTTGTCATCTTTCGCATGTTGTGAACTAACCGTTGGCAAAATTACCAGAAACATTTTGATTAAAAGTAACATTTGCGGTAGAAATATGAACGCGATGTGTTCCGCTTGTGATCCTGTGAGTCAACTGTACGGCAGTTAATTGCATCGGGCATCTATATTTACAGCGCTTTATAACAGGTGCAGCCGTGCAGGCCATTTGTCACTGCGGTTATTTTTGACCCATGCCGATGGCAATTAATTATTTTTATCAAATTCGACATTGCTGAAATAACGGATAAGATGACATTTTGTACTAATGAATCGTATAATTTTAGCTGAAATCATGCATTCACCGGTTCCGTGCTAGAAGTTCATTTTTAAATTTAAAGCTTCGTAGAAGGTCATCCGACGCCTACATACAAATACAAACAAAACGCGAGCACATGCAGCTTCGATTTCGGTCGTTAATATTTAATAATCTGTAAACATGCATTAGACAATATTTTATGACAAGATCACAAGTTAAAAATTAAATTTAAAAATGCGGCATTATAGTGGCAATATTAGAAATAAAATCCCCGTTTACTCCACGCTAAAATTGGTATATCCTCGCCAGTTTCATCTGTGTCCAGACTTTGTTTTTCTAGCCTGCTGTATGTGCACTAATAAAATTTTGTATACGGGTAGCCGCGTGTCGTGCATGAAATTTTCTTTCATCTTGGTGCTGATAGGTGCTGAAAGTTTGGTGAGAATGAGTTCACTACCAATCCGATATTTTTAACGGTATCGTTCGACATGAAAATATCAGTATCTCACATGCAGATAAATTTGTTAAGAGAAAACCTAAAATACAAAGTCTTTTACCCTGAACAAACGATTACATAAAATTAATGCACTAATGATTTTTCCTATACTCACTTCATTTGTTGAAAGTGCAATGAAGTGTATAATCCCAAATTCCTCTATGATACGATGATTTAAATTGCAAACAACACATTTGAAGAGAGAATCGCCCTTAATTTATTTCCCTCTTTTTTCGTTTGGCTTTCCTTTCTGACGCACGCGCTACCTTCCAGTGGATCCGTTCGCGCTTTTTTGTTTTCTTTTTACAAAATGCATGGGTTGAATATATGTATTTTGCAAAATAATATACATTTATGGCTGTTGTGTGTCAACATCTGATCGTTTATAGTCAACAAAAATAATATACATTTTCCCCTAATATTTTGGGTCTTTTCTTCCCAAGATTGTATTGGATTGAAAGCAACTGCAGCCAACTAATATATTTATTTGATCTCTGAATACCAAGAGTACTATTCTGAAATAATTAATGTTAACCTTATTTTTTGTGGATTTCTGTCGTTTCTGGCATAATATATAAAGATGATAATTTTTTATTACTACTACTACCATATTATAATAATGAATCAAGCATTCATAATTCGTTCCTCAACATTCAGGAAAGACCTTCTTATTGAAAAGTGATAATTTTCTCCAAGATGTCAGTTTATCGCAAGTTCGGCTCTCAAGTGTTTCTTATAATCGACGAACGTGTTCAGAGGCATGTAAAACACTTGAAAACAATGAGTATAATAAACTCGCGCTTACCGCTCGTGTTTTCACGCATTGTTTTCACGTGTTATTGATGTACAAGATACTTAATGAACACACTCCGCCGGCTCTTCGGGAGTCTTTTGTGAAAGAGAAATAGATCAAACTAACTATCACCTCCGAAACTCTGCAACAGACCTAAGTCTCCCTAGGCCGATTCGAGAGTACCTTTAAAAAAGTTTCAAATATAGCGGCGCTATGCATTGGAATCGGCTCCCAAACGAAGCAAAATCAGCCGAGTCGCTTCGTTTGTTAAAATCAATTGTTGTTGGACACTGAAACGCATCCTACCTATTCATATAATCTATCTTTGTGTGAAACTGTCTGTGTGTAAATTTCTTTGTCAATATCTAAGGAAATTAAGATGCAGAATATGTAAGCTCCTACCTTCACTGATGCGCTTAAAATTTCTCATTGCACATGGTTTGTCATCTTTCGCATGTTGTGAACTGACCGTTGGCGAAATTACCAGAAACATTTTGATTAAAAGTAACATTTTTCGGTAGAAATATGAATGAGATGTGTTCCGCTTGCGATCCTGTGAGTCAACTGTACGGCAGTAATTGCATCTGGCATCTATATTTACAGCGCTTTAACAGAACAGGTGCGTGCCATTTGTCACTGCGGTTATTTTTGACCGATGGCAAGGTCAACACATATACAACGTGACCAAAAAGGTGAAAAAATATTACTGTATAGCCTTCCATAAAAAAGCATTTATGCGGGATATTATCTAGTTGTGTGTGTATACCTTAATTAAGTTAATTGTAAATGCCTAAGTTAAATGCCATGAGAACTGCTTTGTTTGTCACAAAATATACACATGCATATGTTTGCTATATTAATTGTTTAAAAGATCCTGAATCATCTCCGGCAATAATTTTTAGAGTAATTAGTTAAATATTTAGGTTTCACTCTTCGTGGTAGTACTCTTTTCTTCTAGTAATCTCAATTTAAAATTTCTAATGACATAGGGGAGGGTTGGGGGGCAACCGAACAAAAAATTTGAATTTAACAAAGTTGCGCATATTTTCATCAAATTCAACATTGCTGAAATATAACGGATAAGATGGCAATTTGTACTTATGAATCGTAAAATTTTAGCTGAAGTCATTCACCTGTTCCCGTACTGAAAGTTCATTTTTGAATTTACAGCTTCGTGGAAGTGTTTTTTTTCCTTTAAGCCTACATACAAATACATACAAAACGAGCACAGCATCAATAATTCGGTCGTTAATATTTAATAATCTGTACACATTAGATAATAATTTATGACTAGATCACAAGTTAAAAATTAAGTTAAAAATACGGCATTATAGTGGCAATATTAGAAATAAACTCTCCGTTTACTCCACGCTAAACTTATTGGCACGGCATTGCTAAAATTGGTACCCTTCCCAATTTCAACTGTGTCTAGTCTTTGTTTTTGTTGCTTGTAGCATGTGCACTAATAAAATTTGGTAATACGGGTAGTCGCGTGTCGTGCCCTGTAGTGTAAACAAGTCTAAAATATCATATCATATATTGATTAATTCATATTTTACAATTCTTAATGCATGTAAGTCTTAATGCATGTAAGTACCTATACGTTAATGCTTTTGCCAGCTGCAGCAGACCAACGCGTTAAGCACTCACATACTGTATTTGCGATTGTTTGCCCTGAAGTTCGAGAATCATTTTAATAAACTTCTTTCACCTTGGTGCTGATAGGTGCTGAAAGCTTCGCGAGAATGAGTTAACTACCAATCCGATAATTTTAACGGTATCGTTCGACATGAAAATATCAGTGTCTCACATGCAGATAAATTTGATAAGAGAAAATCTAAAATAGAAAGTCTTTTACCCTGAGCAAACCATTACACTGATGATTTTTCCTACTCACTTAATTTAAGATGATTTTTCCAACATTTGTTGAAAGTGCAATGAAGTATATAGCTAATCCTAAATTTCTGTATGATAACATGATTTAAATTGCAAACAACACATTTGAAGAGAGAATCGCCTTTAATTTATTTCTCTCTTTATCGGTTAACGTTTGGCTTTCCTTTCTACATTTTCGCTTATTTTTTTTTTAAAATGGTTGAATATACGTATTTTACATTAATATACATCTATTTTGGTGTTGTGTGTCAACATCTGATCGTTTATAGTCAACAAAAATAACATACATTTCCCCCTAATATTTTGGGTCTTTTCTTCCCGAAATTTCATTGGATTGAAAGCAACTAGTCTCTAATATTTTTATTTGATCTCTGAATACCAAGAGTATTATTATGAAATAATTAATGTTAACCTTATGAGCGGATTTCTGTCATTTCTAGTATAATATATTAAGATGATATTACTACTACTACTATATAATAATAATGAATCAAGCATTCATAATTCGTTTCTCAACGTTTAGGAAAGACCATTTTGTAAAGTGATAATTTTCTCCAAAGCAAAAAGATCGCTCAATTATTTGTAGCTATAGATGTCAGTTTATCGCAAATTCGGTTTTAAAGTGTTTCTTATAATCGACGAACGTGTTCAGAGGCATGTAATATCAGATCATATATAATTCCACGCCCTTACGAAAAAAATATTCAATGGACAAAGACAGAAATGGATAAATGAATATTTTTTTATTAAAGTTTACATAACAAATCATTTTGACCACCTGCATTCCATCAACCCGTCATGGAGATGAAAGAAAAACTCTCCAGACCCTTTTAACATGTGATGTAATGTCAAAGATGCCTGCGTCACCTGCTGTCCTGTATTATGAATGTAAGGGCCTGTTTACATGGAGCGAGTTATCCCGGCTAGGCGAAGTAAAAAGCGCATCACATCAAAGGCTTAAACTAATAAAAGTCTTTCATATCTATATATGCCGTTGAGCCTCGCCTAGATAACTCGCTCCATGTAAAACGGCCCTAATGCTGAATATCCATTTAATCTCACTGGTCTCAAATCTCTATTCAAAAGAAAAAAAAATAATATGCGAATATTTCGCTAGCGAACTTTCTCATTCTAAGTGGAAATCCACTCTAAAGCTCGCTCGAACAAAATACTAGATCTGAATGAAATATTTTTGATGTATTTTAGATATAACAGTAATATTTTGTTAATGTGTAAGTTGAATGCATTTAAGCATTCTTATATATCTGTGGTTTACTAGTTATATCAATTTTGAAACGTGCATTTTTTTCGAGTATATACCATTAATAAATTTGCCTTTTATTTTGGCCCGCAAGGAAAAGAAAGAATCTCCTTATTATTTTTCTACAGAATACCAAATTCAACATTAAAACGGCATTCAAATGTTACAATTACAACTGTCCTTCATTATTCTTGATTATTGAGCGTTTATTGAACACATTACAATTGCTATATACATGCAACTAAATTATTATGTGTTTACTTCGTTATAAAATCA